ATGCATACCTTACACCGACACTACCCAACAGACAGCTCTAAAGCTGTTCAACAACATCAATAACTCTTTGATTCAACTTTGTTACATCTCCCATGCTACGCCCTTTGCAATCATGGCATATTGTATGTGGCAAACATTGTCTTCATATTCATTATTCAAATTGCTCAATGTTAATATTGTAAGACATTGTTTAGTTTTTTTCTTGTTATTTTTGCTCTTTCTTTCCTTTATCTATAAAATAATAATAATTGGGATTTTCTGCACCTCTTTCCGCACAGGCATTTTGCAATTGTCATAAAAGGATGGCTTACGTTGGCTTTTTTCATGTCCGCTTAAGTATGTAAATTTCTTCCCAGTCTTGGCTTAGTTAATAGTGCAGGTATATACAACTACTAGACAAACCCTGATGTTTGTTAGTTTTTTTATGACAATTTTCCTTTAAAAGCCTAAAAAACATATCCATATTCTCCCTTTCTACAGAGCTAATTTGGAGTCCTGAAAATGGACTGTGGAAGTAATTTGCGATATATTTGAAGAAAATGTGATCTAATTGATATTTAATGTCTCCACTTGCTTTCAGCAGGGACTTGACACTTCTTTTTTATGCCCTGTTCGTTTTCTGGAATTTTCCTCTGCAACGTAACCCTCTTTATTTAATTGTCTTGTTCTGTTTCCAAGCGATGAACATTTTGCATTGAAGTAAAACCATTTCTATGTAGATTCAAGAGTTGACAAAATGTGTTTTATTCGCTCTATACATTGCAATTATTCTCGTATTTGCTCTCCCACCTTCAGTTCAAAAGAAAACCATTTTCCATTCAAAATGAGGAAGAAATGTACTGCAGGAGTCAGGTAGGTCACCAATCAAGGCAAATCGCCAGCGTTTTCCTGTAAATTTTCACGCTCACTTAATGTGATGAGTGGGATGACATTTGGACACTAAAATACCACAAAATGTAGCAATCAAGAGGTCAAAAAGGCAACAAATACATAGCTGTGACCCATAAAATGATAGCATTGTTTAATAAAAAAAAAAAAATTAAATCAATTAGTAATACAGTACACCTTAAGAGACGTCCAAAAGGAAAGTTATGTATTATGAAATTGTCTGGCCTTTTGCAGAAGAGAAAAACTAAATTTCAGTCAATGTGTCAGGCCAGGCATGAAATCCAATATAACGTACAGTGTCTTTAATTGACTTTTATGCCTTTGGAAACATTTCATTAAGTAGAGCATCATGTGATGTCTTTATAATTAAAAGTGCCGGGTTTAATTTTTTTTTTGTACAAGGAAAGAATGTGAAACTCAAGCTGTAGAACCTATAGCTAGTTCAAAACAACTTCAATTACAAAGGTCGCTGTCCTGAGTCATTAGATAAACCACAAATCACAGAGAAAAAGAGCATGGTCGGAGGTTGGTGTCTGGCAGATGTTTGGCAGATGTTTAGCGACTGTCATTCATAAACAGGCAGAAGATTGATGAGCAAATGTGAGCAGTGAGGTTTGGGATATAAAATACATTATAATGAGTGCCTGGGAGACTATGGATTGCATCTAAATAATAAATTTTTCAATACTCTATAAACATAGATGTTTTTCTTTTTAAAATGCCAATGCACAAAACATTGACTCTTTAACTGACTTTTAAAGGAAAATTGTCATAAAAAACTAACAAACTTCAGGGTTGGTCTCTGGTAATTGTATATACCTTCGCTATTAACTAGTAGCCAAGACTGGGAAGAAATGTACATACTTAAACGGACTTGAAAAAAGTAAACGTAAGCCATCCTGAAGGTCTTCTCATTGCTCCATGGTTGTGAATGTCTCTTGAAAGATGATTTGAAAAGATCAGCTTTAAGAGCTGTTGGCAGAAAAAACGTTCAAAAATAAAATAATTTTTTTCAAAAAAGTAGAACATGCTTAATGAGCTATGAAGCTAGCTATTTCTCCTGATATCATATTACTATGCAACTGATACCTACTAAAAGTCCACTTATGTGCTATTAAAGGACTTTTGGACTATTGCCCGACAACTGATGGATTTCTGTGTAATGACCATGTTAAGACAACCCTGGTGTCTTTAAACGAAACCGCCGTTTAGTCAACCTTCCCCTTCTGCAATACCTATAATCTCCGTTCGCATGAACTGCAGTGTACGAACCAAACTCAGGGGAAGTGGCAATCTCCCGACCAGGATCCGTGAACGTCTCCAAACTCCTGAACGGCAATCCACGAACTGCTGCTAGCCGCCGAACAATAACATCCACCAAGCGGCTTTCAGTTCCATCCAGCAGTCTCTAAGCGTAAAGAAGAAATCCCCCCAATAACGAGACAGAAGCTCCGCATTGAGGGTCAAACAGGATCTGGCTTTACTGTGGGCTACCTGCCTGTATTTATGCAGGTCTCCCACTTGGTGGACACTCCCCTAGGGGACCAAATGGGAGACTGTAATGACAGACAGACATAGGGACATTCCAGACATACAGTCACAGCTTTTACCCACAATACACTATGGTTTCCTCCCCTCTGCCCTGGAGATAATTAAGAAGTAACTCAATTATCTCCAGGACAAAGCCAGTCGCCATTTTAAATATAAAACCAGAAAAGACATAAAAATTCATAACTTTACAAAAACCGAACATTTCCCATTCGCATCACATATCCCCAGATAGCCTGGATCTGAGTGCATATTATTAGCGAATAGCGCTCAGATCCCACACACATAGTTCAATCGCCATGGAGTCAAAGTTCTTACAGTCTTTCGGTATACGAATGACTCCATGGGAAGGCTATCTGGGTTAAGTCCTTTTGTATGCTTCAAAACTCCCGAACGGCCGGTATTCGTATGCTTTCGTGGAGGCAGCCAGGCGTTCCGTTGTTTCAGCGGTGTTCGGCAGAAAAAGTGTCCGTTTTTAGTTCCATGAAAATAGAGCCGAACACCGCTGGGCTTTCGTGCGTTTTAAAATGGCCGCTGCCTCGTGGTCGACATACGAACGACGACCACCCTGAATTCGTTTAATTGAGAAGTGTCTGCGGTTAACCACAACGTTCTAATTGGGATCAATAGGTTAACCAGCAGCACACTTCTCTCCTGGGTGGCCATCCGTTCGGTAGTTTTGTTCGGATAAAACGGTCATTCGTATGGCTGGGCTATAGGAAACAGCCATTTACACGAACGGAGCAAACAGACGAATCCACCAACAATAAACAGACAGATGGTTCTGTCACAGACCACAAAACAGCACTATCAATATCAAGAGGTTTATTTATTATTTAAATACGATACATAAAATACATATCATACAGTCACCAGGGCTTAAAATATGTAGTTCTATGCTACTAGCCAGGACTTAAAAGTTACTCTCCACTGCAAGCCACAGTGTACCCTCCAGGAGTAAGTTTCTAGTTGCCTGAGCTAAATTTTTACTCGCCTTTTTGCTAGTGAAAATTGTTGAGTCCTTAGCTTTAAACAACATCTTTATGCAGATATAAGTCTAGCTGGTACAGGTGAGAACTGGATCTGTAATACACAAGTGGTGCACTATAGCTGAAGAACTTTGATATTTGTTACATCGTCCAAATTACCCTGCAGGGTGAGTATTTGTGATTTTTGTAGTATTTGATTATTTTATTCTCAAGGTATAAAACAAATAGCGTAGTTGGAATGTTTTAGGGCTGGTGGAATGTATTTGGTATTTTGATCATTTACATTTGGGTCAGATAACATCAGAAAGTAGTGGCAAACCGTACACCTTTAACCCCTTAGTGACAGACCGTTTTTCAATTTTCTTACCTTTTACAGTACCCAAACATATTATATACCATTTTACCATTTTTTACATTAAATGGTCTTTCTAAAGATACCATTATTTTCATCATATCATATAATTTACTATAAAAAAAAATATAAAATATGATGAAGAAATAAAAAAAAAAACTTTTTCTAACTTTGACCCCCAAAATCTGTTACGCATCTACAACTGCCAAAAAACACCCATTCTAAATAGTTTCTAAATTTTGTCCTGAGTTTAGAAATGCCCAATGTTAACATGTTCTTAGCTTTTTTTGGAACGTTATAGGGCTATAAGTACAAGTAGCACTTTGCTATTTCCAAACCATTTTTTCTCAAAATTAACGCAAGTTACATTGTAACACTGATATCTGTCAGGAATCCCTGAATAACCCTTCCCATTTATGTATTTTTTTAAAAGAAGACAACCTAAAGTATTAAACTTGGGTTATTTTGACTCTTTTCATGCAACCATTTTGCTACCAATCCATGCCAAATTTTTTAAAACAAAATGATAGCTGGTGATTTTTTTTGACACACACAGCAATTTAAGAATAAATGTACGGAGAACTTTAGGGGTTACTGCCAAAATACACCCCAATATGTTTTTAGCAACATCTCCTGAGTACAGTGATACCCCCCATGTATAGGTGTGTTGAGTTATCTTGGGGCTAAAAGACCTTATTTGGAGAGTGCGAATTCCAGTTTTTCAACTTGAAATTTTCCCAACTGATCATCATGCACCCATGTCCTATTTGGGACATTCTGCCAATGTAATTTACCCCCATCATGTGTTACTGACAAAGAACACCCCAATATGTGTTCAGCAACATCTCTCGAGTACAACAGTGCCCCCAATGTAAAGGTTTTATGGGTTTTTGCAAACTTATAGGGGTCAAATGTAGGGCTTTCCCCTTTTCCATGTTTGCACATAGAAATTTGCCAGATTGGTTTGTTGGGCCTATATTGCCTGTGAGACTGTATAGCAGCCCAGGAATGAAAAGTAACCCCATCCTGGCACACCATTTGTAAGACTAGACAACCCACGGTATTCAAAATGGGGTATGTCCAATCTTTTGTAGTAGCCACTTAGCCACAAACACGTGCCAAAGTTAGTGTTCATATTTGTTTTTGCATTTTATTTACACAATAACTTCATTTTTACTGGTGATTTCATCGTCATGATAAGTTTTACTGTTTTAAACTCTCATATTTGTGTTCAGCGAAGTCTCCCGAGTATAACAATATCCCCCATGTACAGGTTTTATGGTGTTTTGGAAAGTTACAGGGTCAATATAAGGCTTGTCCAATTCAGTTTGCCAGATTGGTTTGCTGGGTCTGTGTTGCCTTTTGAAACCACATGGTAGCCCAGGAATGTAAAATAACCCCATCATAGCATACCATTTTCACAAATACTGGCCAAAGTTAGCATTTTTATTTGTTTTTTTTGCATTTTTTTTTACACAAAAACTGCACTTTTACTGTTTTTTTTTAACAGCTCAGACAGTCCCCCTGCTGGAAGCTCCTAGACTCCTATTGCGGTAATGTGATCATGGTGATCACATGGCCCTCGAGGGCCAGGGTGGCCAGAGCTGCTGCAGGGGGACTGCTGAGGTCTCCGGCAGTCCCCACCACCACAGTGATAGCCGTGAATCACCAGTCCAGGTAAACCCGGGGTTCCTCTTTGTCACGGTCATATATATATATATATATATATATATCATTTAAAATATATATTTTTACAGTTTTTTACTTATTTTTAATTATTATTTATGTTTTATTTTATATATATATATATATCGATCTTGAAAAAGACCCGGCAGGGTCGAAACGTCGATTGATTTTTTTGTACATCACAGATGATTTATTAAAGCACCAGTTTTCCTATTAACCAGAAGACCTGTGAGTGCATTTTTATTTTTATTTTTGTTTATATATATATATATATATATACACAATACATATATATATATATATATAAAAAAATATATTTCATATATATATATATATATATATATATATATACATACACATGTGTATAATTTTACTCTAAGTGTATATTTATATTAGTATATGCATATATTAATAAAAAATACACTTAGTATGAAGTTTTTTAATTTATTACCTTTTATTTTTTTTATTTTTTTTTACTTTTTTCACCAGCAGGTGGACTGCCTGGCAGAACTGTGGACACCTATTGCAGCATTGTGACCGCTCTTTTAGAGCCCAGACAGTCCCCCCTAAGAAGAAGACTGATTGCCGGCGGGGGAACGGCGGCGATCTGTAAGTACATGGGGAGGGAGAGGGAGGGAGGGTAGGGGTTAATTTTTACATTTATTTAATTATTTTTATTATTATTTTTATTTTTTTATATTTACTGAGTGCCTCAACCCCTCAAGGCACTCAGTACAGGCAGAGCATTGGAAGCCTGCCTGATGGCTTCCGATGCTCTGCCTCACTGCCGGACTCCACGTGGAGCAACCAAGAAGTGATCGCTCCGGGGGGGGGGGGTAACTGGGGGAGGGGAGGAGGGCGATCACCCGGTGTTCTCCAGTGGCCACTGGCAGTGATGCCTCAACATTGAGAAAACGCTGCAATACCATTAGTACCATGATCGCTTCCAGCGCTCTAATTACCCGCGGACGTATCAGGTACATCCGCAGTCCTTAAGGGCCATTTTTTGACGGATGTACCTGATACGTCCATTGGTTAAAGAGGCTGCCATGAGCACTTTGTGAAGGTAAATCACATATACCGAAGAAGCTGCTTACTGCAACTTTACATTGGTGGAAAAAGACCCCTGACTGTATTTGACATTTAGTTGGTCCACCTTCCATGGACTTTTACTAGACATGTTCAGGGACAGTAATTATGATTTTGACCAAGCAGGAATGCTTTAAACTGTAGACCCATCCTTCTGTGTAATAAAGTTGCACAACTCCTAATCTGATGCATAGGGGTAAAAACGGGTCAGTAAAAGGTGTAGCTACAGGGAATTAATGGTTCTTTATTTCAGGACAATGAATGCTGGCATGTCTTCCTACCCTATTGCTGTGTGTTTTTTTAAAGTCTCTACATTCTTTGTTTTGCATCTGTGATGCATAAAGAGAATTGGTGAATGTGGACATCAACATCAATTGTTTTTTTCAACACAAGCATATCTTCTGCCTCGTCTGATATTTGCCCAACGTCACCACAATGAGTGACTTGGCATGCTATTCATTAGACTTAGTTAAACCCATTGAGATATTTGTATTTAGCTGAACTAGTTCAACACAGTCACTGGAAAATATGAAAATCACAGCAGTGAGCAATATATGTTGTTTCAAAGACTTCATTAAAAAAAATCATTAAACTCTAAAATAAGCCTAATTCTTATACACGTGGTACTGTACGTTTACCACTTGTTTTATATGTTTCATTTAGCATAATGTTGCTTCTGCGTTGTCATAATATTTTTAATACCAAAAGCACAAAATAGTATGGTGACATATAAATCACAATCTATTTAAATACTTTATGTAAAATATTGCAAGATCAAATGCTTACACTTTGGTATTTCTTCCTGTTATGGAACCTTGCAGTCCATATGTAACATCACAGATATCCAAAGACGTAGTTTTAAATCTATTTCCAATCTTTAATAACTTAAAATGCATACAAACACAACATAGTATGAAACCATATTCAATGAATACAATATAAAATAATATAATGCACTCACAAGCGCAAGACCACTGCAGTTGGCCAGAAGGCCAAGTAGATAGATCTTAAAGATCTTGATGATGAAGTAGGCAAATGTCACTAGCAGTTTATCTAGTGATCTGTTCACCTGCTTGCATTGGGTCTGGACCTGTGGCAGTAGGGAATGAAATGTTGTCCTGGTCATGGAAGGTGTCAAATTGGAGGCTTTACATTCTGCTGGAGACATTTGTCTGATTTATAGTGGAGGTCTTTCAGACCTGTCTACATGCCCTTCTGGCCACTTTATAGTTTGGAAAGTAACCATGAATAATAAAACTTTATATATTTTATATCAGATTAACATTTTTAAAATTATTTTTCTGTTGTAGTTGTATATTTTTATTGAATCAATAAGTCATCATGCTAGATCGAGAGGTTGTTTTTCGTCCTGTCTGAGTATCCCAGGCCTAGAGATATGATACCTCCATCTAAGTATCCGAGCTCTATAACTAAAGATATTTGATACCTCCATCTAAGTATCTGAAGCCTAGACCAAGAGATATGATACATCCATCTAAGTATCCCTGCCCTATAACTAGAGATATGATACCTTAATTTAAGTATCCCTGCCCTATAACTAGAGATATGATACCTCCATCTAAGTATCCCAGTCCTATAACTAGAGATATGATACCTCCGTCTAAGTATCCCAGCCCTAGTCCTAGAGATATGATACCTCCATCTAAGTATCCCAGTCCTATAACTAGAGATATGATACCTCCGTCTAAGTATCCCAGCACTATAACTAGATATATGATACCTCTGTCTAAGTATCCAAGCACTGTAACTAGAGATAACATATATCTGTATCCCAGCCCTATAACAAGAGATATGATACCTCCATCTAAGTATCCCAGCACAATAACTAGAGATATGATACCTCTGTCTCAGTATCCCAGCACTATAACTAGAGATATGATACCTCCGTCTAAGTATCCCAGCACTATTACTAGAGATATGATACCTCTGTTTAAGTATCCAAGCACTGTAACTAGAGATATGATCCATCTGTATCCCAGCCCTATAACAAGAGATATGATACCTCCATCTAAGTATTCAAGCCTAGTCCTAGACATATGATACCTCCGTCTAAGTATCCTAGTCCAATAACTAGAGATATGACCCATCTGTCTAAGTATCCCAACTTTATAACAGGGGATATGATCCATCTGTCTAAGTATTCCAGGAATTTTCCTATATATATGATCCCTCTGTCTACGTATCACAGCCCTATAATTAGAGATATAGTACCTCCATCTGAGTATTCTATGGCTATTCCTAGAGATATGATACCTTCATCTAAGTATCCCAGCCCTATTCTTAGATATATGATTGCCCCATTCTGAGTATCCCAGCCAAATTTCTAGAGATATGATTCATCTTGTGTTAGTATCTCAGCCCTATTCCTAGAGATATGATTCATCCTGTGTGAGTATCTCAGTCCTATTCCTAGATATATGATTCACCTGTGTGACTATCTCAGCCCTCTTCCTAGAGATTTGATTCATCCTGTGTAAGTATCTCAGCCCTTTTCCTAGATATATGATTGCCCTGAGTGAGTATCTCAGCCCTATTCCAAGAGATATGATTCATCTGTGTAAGTATCCCAGGACTATTCATAGAGATATGATTCCCCTGTGTCAGTATCCCAGCTCTATTCCTAGAGATATGATTTCCATGTATGAGAATCCCAGCCCTATTCCTAGAGATATGATTCCCCTGTGTGAGTATCCCAGTCCTATTCCTAGATATATGATTCCCCTGTGGATTATCCCAGCCCTATTCCTAGAGATATGATTCCCCTGTGTGAGTATCTCAGCCCTATTCCTATAGATATGATTCCCCTGTGTGAGTATCCCAGCCCTATTCCTATAGATATGATTTCCCCATGTTCGTATCCCAGCCCTATTCCTAGAAATATGATTCCGCTGTGTGAGTATCCCAGTCCTATTCCTAGAGATATGATTCCCCTATGTGAGTATCCCAGCCCTATTCCTAGAGATATGATTCCCCTGTGTGAATATCCCAGGACTATTCATAGAGATTGGATTCCACACCTCCATCATAATATAGCAAGTAAAAACTGTTTCTACTTTGTTGTTATCATTTTTAAATGTGTTGTTCCTGTAGTTTTCTATAAAGGACTAATTAAAGATTTCCAAGACTTTTTTTAGTCATTTAGGACACAGAGCATGAGCTAGTTCATAGATCCACTTCCTGTTTCCTGTGCAGTGAAAAGCAGCGAACTTCTCTGTAAATCGCACACTCTGATTGGCTACTGATATCATATGTTTGTTATGCTTTTTGTTATCAGTAGCTATCAAGTGTTTAAATATTGCAAGGCAAGATGGCCGCCTCTATACTAAAAGCCTGAGAGATCTTCAACTCGGAAGTTCAAGTAGATTAATATTAACCTAGGTGCATTATTGTTTTTCACATATTTATGGTAAGACAGTTTCAAGGGATGGTGCTATCCCAGTGACACTTTGCATTATGACAAATGTTTTCAGCAAATGCTAAAGGAAAGTGACTGGTTAAGTATTGAGTTACTGTAGTTACTGCTAGCTTCCCATAGGGCCTGGCCCAAAAAAATTCACGTTTCTCTTTATTGCTGCAGTGCTACAATTCTTTCTACTGTACAGTGCCAAGTAGTGTCTCAATGATGGCATTGTTTACTTTAAAAATAGTTTCTGTAATGCAGATGTTTAGTTTGGGGAGGAGTTTGCAGTTACAATGACCAGCTGTATTTTGCGTTAATAATAGTATGGGGCATGCACACAAACTCAACGTCTGTCACACACTGACATCTGTGTTTAAACTGAAAATTTCTTTATTTAGAAGTGTAACCCTTTCACTGCCCAATAGTGTGAGAAGCAGATTTGAGTTAAAGGAACTCTCCGGCAGTTCCTTTAAAAAAAATAACAGTGAATATTAAAATACAAGTTGAAATACCTGTTGCAGCCCACAATGTCACTTAAGGTAGGAAAAAAGGAGCACTTACCCCCCTCCCATTGCTAGTCTTCTATTGTAGTTAAAAGTCTACTAAGAAAAGGGATACACCATTTGTGTATTGGGTTTTGATGTCAGGAGGCCAATCCACAACTAACAAAGTCTTAATTTTTCATCATATATTTATCTGTTCGCACTGATGAGAAACTTGCATTTTAAATGTCTATAACAACCTCAGGAATTAAAATTGAGTAGGAAAAGTATATATTTTTAGGAAGAAGACAACCTCTGGCATAAGTATAGTGGTATTTGAAGTCTCTGTTCACTACAATGAGAAAAAGAGAGATCATAGCAGTCAATTCTATGACACTGAAGGAGTTTAACCCCTTAAGGACCAAACTTCTGGAATAAAAGGGAATCATGACATGTCACACATGTCATGTGTCCTTAAGGGGTTAAAGTACTTTGTCTCCAGAATAAACTCCGTTTTAGTTTAAACGCTAGACGGGAGCATTCATGATATAAGACTCATTATTTTGAAGGGGACATAGCACATTCATCTAACCATTCTGTATCAAACTAATCGTGATTTGTCTGAATTTTGGACAATTGTCGAGGTGTCCCAATTCTGTAACTGTGAATTGCCATATCACTGAATCACAAAGCAAGCAAAATAAGGAATGAATAGGCCATTTCATTTGTCTATGATTAGGAGTTCTACCTGGGACACCTCCCCCCTTCCCATGAAAAGATCAAAGATGATTACGGGGCAGCCACTAAATGTTGATTTACTGGCCAACTGAGGTAAAAAGGAGGAGCAGTAAAAAAAATAAATAAATTGATTTATATATAAATATATATATATAAAAGATATAATAAAAATAGATTTTCCACTGGTCTATTGGTTACTTATTTTCACGCTATATGTATATATTTTTCAGTTCACTGGCACATTTTCACCAACATTTAGGTTTATCCAAATCATTTTTACCAAAATTATTTCATGTATAAAATTTCTCTGAATCACCCAAAACAGTTATTTTTTTTATTTTATTTTTTAGATTAATCAGATCCGATGAACCACATTTTCTTGCCTACACAACTCTAGTAACACGATTTAAGAAGATGGAAGAATGGCACTGTGACGAGACCAATCTCGCCACATTGCATTGGAGAAGCCTGGTTGCTCGCCTGCTGCCTCTGGACTATGGCCCCCTTTTAAAAGACTTTATTTCGCCTGGAGAAAAGCTGTATTCGTATTCAATCTACCGAACAACCGCACGAATAAATAGACCACCTGGGAGCTGGAGTGTGCCGGCAATTAACCTCCCTGAAGCTGTGGTTAACCGCAGCTTAATTGACGAATGCTGGGTGGCCGCCATTCGTATCCCGAACACGAGGTCGCGGCCATTTTAAACATACGAATGCACAGCGGTGTTTGCCCCTATTTTCATGGAACTAAAATCGGACACAGTTTTGCGCGAACACCGCTGAAGCCGCCGACCTCCCTTCTTGTTCGGTGGAAGTGCACGAACGGCCCGGTGTTCGGAAGTTCTGTTTGAATAGGTTATACCCCAGATAGGAATCCCATGGAGCCCATTCGTATGAAACTGACTGTAAAGACTTTGGCTCCATGGCGATTAAACTGTATTCGTGTGGTCTGAGTGCCATTCACCTAATAATGTACACTCAGACCTGAGCTATCTGGATATGTTACATGTCTGTGTTTTATGTAATAAATGTTACTTTATGTATTTTAAAGTATAATACTGGTTTTGTGTCCCCACATGTGTAATGGAGTTTTGCCTTTGTCTTGGGAGATAATTGAGTTACTTCTCAATTATCTCCCAGGGCAGAGGGGAGGAAGCCAGGATGCATTGTGGGAATATACTGTGACTGTGTGTCCTATTTGTCTACTTGTCTGTCCTTGTCACAGTCTCCCATTTGGTCCCCTAGGGGAGTGTCCACCAGGTGGGAGACCTGCATAAAAGCCGGGCAGGTAGCCCTCATTAAACAGACCACTGCTTGACCCTCAACACGGAGCCTTGTCTCGTCTTTGGGGGGATTTACTGTATGCTGCTAAGGACTGATTGCCAGGAGTGTAAGCCGCTTGGGAGCTTTTCCTGTTCGTCTGGTAGCAGCAATTCGTATGGTTCCTGTTCGTGTATTTGGAGTGCTGTATTGGATGCCGTTCGGGAGTTTGAAGCATTCACTTATTGTATGCAGTTCGAGTGTTTGGAGCATTCCCTTGTATGCAGTTCGAGTGTTTGGAGCATTCCCTTGTATGCACTTCGGGACTTTGGTGCATTCACTTGTATTCAGTTCGTGAGTTTTGGGTGATTCTACAGTAGCTGTGCCTGTCTCTGAAAGGGGATTATCGTCTAAGCTGTTTTTTCCCCTTTTTTGCAAAACGGTCCGTTACAGGCACCAAACCAGTTAAGAGGAGGTCAGATGCATCTTGGGAAGTATCATTTTCTTAGCTCATTGGCCTTTGAATGCTTCTTGGCCTTAGAATGCTTCTCATTTTTCTTCCTAGACCATCCTGGAATTTTAGATTTAATCTGTCTCACAAATTTCATTCAGGACTGATATCATCATATTTCAGGGAATGCATTTTATTACTTTAATTTTTAATATTTCATGGCCATGAGAAAAGGAAATACATCAATAAATAATGCGATTCTATTTTTATGTTTGTATTACTATAGCATACTGTTCTAATGATTGTTATATTTATTGTCGCTACTTCTTGACATAACTTTCATTTGGAAGGTTGTTTGATACTTGGAATTAATAACTGCCATGCTGACTTAGTAAAAAACTGTGATTTTGTACACAGATTTTTTATGTATTAGATCTATTAATGCAAATTAATATTTGTCAATCATTAATTTATCCTTTACAGAAATAGTGGAAGATTTAGAGATTATCGCCTCAATTTTATATTTTTGGATAAACTTGATGATTTATCATCAAGATCAAATTACTTATCTACAAAAATTCCCATAGTCTTTAATGGTATTTTAAAGCGCTACAGAATAAGTGTGCATATATATATATATATATATATATTTATATATAAATACCAACAATAATAATAATGGTGACTTCTGTAGATGAAACACTTCAAAAGTTTATCCAAAAGTATTAAATAATTTGAAAAGTTTAGCCAAGTGCATTAAATCGAGGTCTATGTTCTTATATCTTAGGCCTCAATTTAACATTTTTGCATAAGCTTTTCAAATGATTTGATTTGAAATATTAAATAAAATAAAAATATATATTATGTTTTATTTAATATTCGAAAAAAACATTTAGAATATTAATTCAAATGTAAACATTGTATACAAACTATATTAATATATCAAAAGATTTTAGAATATGATTTTTTTCTCCAAAATATTAAATAATTTGAAAAGCTTATTCAAAAATATTAAATATTAAAAGATCATACAGCTATGACAAAATCAATAAATAAAAGTGGTCAAATACTTTTGATAAGGAACTTGATTACATTTTGGGGAATATAGTGTTCCAAAAATGGCATTAAAGATTATAAAATAGTGCTCTAAAAAAACAATCCAGTCATACAAAAACAATCTGTGTATCTTTTTTCATTTAAATTTCTTATGGAAATGTGTCACTATTACATTTCATATTTGCATACTAGTTGATAAAGGCAGAAAATTAAGCTGCATACAAATTTCAAGTACAAAATTGTTTAAAAAACCTCAATAAAATACCTAGAATGTTATGGTTACTGTGTTATATCAGTTATAATTTAGCAAATTATTTCTACTATTATTATTAGCAGTAACAATTCAATGTATAATTAAAGCAAATTTCATAAACTGAGCAAATAAATATTAAACTGTATTTATGAGGTGCTGAACCGATAAATAAACATCTCCAGTAAAAAATGTTAAATATAAAATCCCATCAAAGGTTTACCAAGTGTTTTGCCAGACTCTACGTGCAGTTTTCAGTAAATGTAAAACCTCTACAAAACTGTTAGCTCTCATTTGACAAATCATATTTTATTCTGAGTAAAAGACATTGCT